TGGGGGGGCGTCTTGTGATGTCACAACCAATCTGCTCCAGTTCAGTGATACTAAAGAAGAGAAAAGATGAGGAGGAAAAGAGAAAGGGGGGTGGACTAGGACGCCAGCCATTTTATTCCTCAGTGCTGCAACAGCCTTTGTTGCCATGACGACGCAAGCCGATGAGCTCATTGCTGTTACCTCGCTGAGCCCCCCCAACCCCCCAAACACACACACCCACACCCACCCACCCACACACACACACACACACACACACACACACACACACACACCATCCCTCCTTAAAGTGGCAGTTGCTCACAATCTGAGATGGGGAAGATGTCATACGTCATGTGACCGTTTTTATTGATTTGGCTTCATTGGTATGAAGCACAGTGACCAAGTGGTTGGCTGTGTTGCTGTGGCGGTTCTGGGTTCAACTCCGTGTGGTTCGGGAGTGGTGGTGTTGTGATGTTTCCCAAAAAAAAAAAAAAAAAAAAAAAAACTCAACAACATTTGTGTGAGGCAACTTGATTCCAAAAAGCATGTCGGTTAAGTCCGCTCATTTCGCTCCTGTCGAGTGTCATTGATGCTTTTTCAGAAATACGTACAATAGGCTCAACGTTCCTTTGAAGAGTCAAAAGTGTTTTTGATGATGACGCTTAGTTCTCTCCACTCAAGTATAATTTTTTACATTTTTTTATGTACATTAGTGTCAACGGTTACAAAATGCACGTAACTGCAGTTTGTTGAAGTCAAACTTGTCTTTGGTGGTGATTTTTTTTTATTTTTAGAAAATCCGTTGTTTGGCTCGATGTTTGCAACAACATAAAGATAAGCTTTGTTGAAGATGCAAAAATCAACCAATGTTTACACCTGGCTCATGATAGCCTAAATGTTATGCAAACATGTTGAAGTGCCTTGACAGAAATACTTCCTTACTCTCAAGTGTCTTTGATGTTTACACTCTGATGTCCATCATGTTTTTCCACATGTAGCCGACATTAGGCTCGACGCGCACAAAAAAGTGTGCATGTTAGGTTATTTGAAATGGAAATTCTCCTCTTTTTTTTCCACCCCGCAAATGTTTCCTGTATTTGGCTCGATTGCTACCATCAGCATGCATGCTTGGTTTGTTGACGAGTCAAAAATCGCCGATGTTGATGCCGGGCTCATAGGATTGAGATCATCGTGGCGAGTTTTTGGTGCTTTTTCCCAAAATATGTACACAAAAAGACAAAAAGAATGCCAGGTACGTTTTTGTTGATGGGTCAAAAATCGTTTTTCAAGTTTAAGTTTTGTTCCTTAGTCTTGAGTGTCTGACGTTTTTATCAAATAGTTTTCATCGGGTGTCATATTGAACAAAAACAGGTCAATTGGCCCATTAAAAAATGTTAATATTGTCTACCTACATGTTGTTACCAAAGCTTTTGTTTTCAATCCTTTGTTTAGGGCGAAAGCACCACAACACGGATGCTATTTTAGCACTAGCGTTCAGCTAGCAGGGACTTTCTTTGGGCACTTGTTTGGCTGTTTGGCTGCACACTAGATGGCGTTTGGTTTCTTTTGTACTATGACTGTTAACTTAAAATAGGAAGTGGATATAAAACAGGTGGAAACCTTGTTTTGAATTCATTGTTCACTGTTCGGCAATCTGCTCTTATCACAAAGCGCATTGAGTTGAGTTTACTGCCACCACCCCAAAAAACAAACAAAAAAAAAATCAGTCGAATGACAGCTCGTAGTTTGAAAAACTCAAGTCAGGTCACTCGTATGTCAACGCACCGATGTACCGTTCCAACTTCTTTACCAGCTTGAGCTTTTCTGCCCTCTAGCGGAACTTTTACGATGCCTCATGTCAACTTCATTTGTGGAAAACAAATTCCTGGCTTGACAAATGTTTCCCGTCATTCTGTGCCCCAGACGCTCCTTTTCCTTCCAGGCGGCTCACGCTGGGAATTCACCAGCACTTTTCAGGAAAAAAAAATGCTTTTCCTTCCTGCTGCCCCAATTGTGTATCCAACGGAAACCAAGACCCTCAACTAACAGGATTTCACGGTCACTGCTAAAAACCTTTTTCACAGAAAACACACAACTTTTGTCCATCGGTTTAAAGAAAGGGTGGGAAACGCATCAAATTGTATCACTATAGTGATCCAATTGTTTTATATGAATCCGACTCGCTTTTCAAAACAAAATTAGCGAGAGTGAGACACATAAAAATGACTTGTGAGAAAATTGATAAAACGGAACAAACTAAAAATCCAGTTAGCTTTCCAAAAGGATTCATCGTCCAAAAAAACGATAAACTGCTTGTGAGATCGCCCAAGAAGAATCGCGTTGCAACCTCGATACACGTCGATATCATCTTCCAAGACCGTATCAATGCGATATCACAACTGATCATAATATCATACTTCGGGCGCATCGATTGATTCGAACAAACCCGGCTAGCTTTTCAAGCGGAATTCTTTATGTGCAGAAAACGATACGTGTCGTATCGTGACTTGATGAAAAATAAAGACGCCGCTCGTATCGAAACTGATAATGGCGCCATAATTAACTGTCTCGATATTTTCTTAAGAATCCAGGGAAAAAAAAAACAAAGGGGTGCTGAAAAATAAATAGATTTAAGCACCCTCATTTTTAACAAATGAAAAACATGAACATCTCCCGTACTTTACTTACTTTCAATCATATTGCACAATTGATACCATACTGTCGTATCAATTTTTGTGCACTTTGAGAGTGATTTATTTATTTATTTTCGGCTTACTGGCCGTGTAGTTTGTACGGCTAGTGAGCTATTAGCTTGAAGACAAACATTCCTGTGCTTATCAGTGTTTTGCTTCAGTGTGCTGTCCCTACACGGACAACTATTCAAGCGCAGACTCCCACTTTTTGGACCACACAATTTACTCCGACTACGACAACTACTACAAAAGTACTACTCGAGTAGTCATGCTGCACACTCAACCAACCTACAATGAAGAACACGTCGGTATAAAAATGCTAAATTGTCATTTTAAGTTTTATTATGAATAGCAGTGAATAATTTTGTTATTTTTTGGGAGGGGCGACAGATCTCATTGGATGTTTGTTAAAATTATATTCATGCTGTTATTTTCGATAGAATTTTAATAACAGCCAAATATGTGCATATTCATCCATCCATCCATCCATCTATCCATCCATTTTCAAATCCGCTGATCCTCACGAGGGTCGCAAGTGTGCTGGAGCCTATCCCAGCTGTCTTTGGGCAGTAGACGGGGTGCACCCTGAACTGGTCGCCAGCCAATCAGAGGGCACGCATAAACAATCAACCATCCCGCTCACAATCACACCTAAGAACAATTTGGAGTTCCCAATCAACCTGCCATGCATGTTTTTGGAATGTTGGAGGAAACTGGAATACCCAGAGAAAACCCACGCACATGGGAGAACATGCAACCTCCACACAGGGAGGCTGGAGCCGATTCGAACCCTGCACCACTGCACCGTGAGGCCGACATGGTAATCAATAGTCCACCGTGCCGCCCTTATGTATACATTTTTCCTTTTAAAATGTTTGTCTTATTCATATTTTGTATCATACAATTGTAAATAAAAACACCAATATTATTTCCTTGATACTGCATTGTTTTATAATACAAAATAAATATTAAATTAATAATATAAAGTGCAAACAAATTTTAATTACAGTACAATAAAACCTGTAACACAATGATTCAATGATGTTTTGATAAATACATATTTAATCATTTTGTTATTTTGAATCATTATCACATTTACGTTCTTAAAATGATTCAACTAAAACAACTCATGAACACATTAGTTGAAATGACCATTGGGGAAAAAAAAAACATTGACGATGATACAGAAAATCGGAATGATTATGATTTGTGAGGGATAATGAAAATCATGTAAGATTAATGTTTATTGATAACTCGTATTAATGTATATAATCATTAATCAATAACAAAATGGAGGACTGGACCCACCGATGGAGGTGATGTGGAAGCCCGGCGGTGCCTTCAGGGTCCTTCTTGTCCATCCGTTCCTGAGCACTTGCAGGTGGTCTTCACGGCCGCGGATGAGCAGCACATGCTCGTCGAGCCAGCCCAGGAAGAAGACCTCGGCCAGGGCTCGGGTGAGCGCCTGGTTCCAGAAATGCCCCATGTTGGTGGCCTTGAAGTCCGCAAACACCTGGTACCCCGCCGGCACCGCCGATGGTGCTGGCACCGAGGTGTCGTCTTCACGGTGGCCGCTCAGCCTCGACAGCACCACTGCCAGCGAGTGCGGCGCGATCCCGAGCACTTTCTCCTCCATCAGCGAAGTTCACAGTCACGATCCCGATTCCGAAACAGCTCCATTCTGTCAAAACTTTTATGCAAGTTTCTTCAAAACGAATTCAAAGTGTTTGGGGAGAATATTTAGGTTGAATATAAAGAAAAAAAGACCAACCGAGGAGAAGTGTATACCGTCGTTTTGCTCATTCTGGGACAACTTTAGAGCTGGCAAGTGCGGTGATTGTGTTGCATTCAAGAATACTCGAAAATCTGTCAACTCTAGTGCGAAAAGGCGTCAAAACCATCGATAAAATCGCAATCTTTTCGGTTTAAACAATATACATTAATCGGTTTTTAGGTTATCACCAAATATCTAAACAGGGTTGAGAACAGTGTTGAATTAATAGCATATACTGAGAGATAAGTTAAGTTCACCTTTCAGTAAACGTCTCATTGGTCGAGTTTCAACTTTTAAAGTAAAAATTCGACGGCGACTCAAAGCAATATTTTCAAGAGAAACTATCAATTAATACCTTTAAGCCAATTTTAGAAAATCAGCCTCAATATTGTCCAGTGCTTGCCTATAAGAATGACGGGTAAAACAAGTTTTCGTTGAGGTCAATTTTATTTTGAAAGATACACGTCACGTGACGTCACGATTGAAAAAAAAAAAAAGACATCCCGAATTGTATCAGGCTGCCAATCGAGTCCAATGTCATGAAATACCTTTGCCGTTCGAAAAAAATAAGCAGTTGTAATATTTATATCGAAAGATTCAAGGACCTTTTGTGAAAATATTTGAATTTAGGATTTGCTTTGACAAACTCACAACAAAGCTGATTATGCATGAGAATCAACACTAATGACATTTTATTGCCACATCATCAGTCATTTCTTCTTTTATAAGACACCTTACATAAATGCCAGTGCCATTAGCACCGATTTACAATGGACTAACACTGCCACTTACTCGCCGCGCCAAAAAGTAAAGCCACCAGCGGTCATTTTAAGTTGCCACTCGCTAAGAGGACGCCTACACCATAAAAAAAAAAAAAAAAAAAAAAAAAAAAATTCTGCGGCATTTTCGAAATATTTTTTTTCTACTGCGAAAATGCAAGAGTGTGTGGCACGCTGTTGCACCAACCACTAAATCCGAGAGTAGCGCTGCGTGCACATTTTAGCAACAAGAATGAAATGATACATGTTCTCTCACAAGATACATCTCTGAGTGCTATTCGATTAGTCTGCATCATATTGTTGCAACCATCAAAAATGAATTGAAAGCAAAGCAGGAAAAATAAATAAACAAATCAATGCAAAATATAAACTTAAAACAAACCAAAAACAAAACACCTTGTCAGTAACAGTGGCAACATAAGATGGTTGCCGTTTGGCTTCAGTCGCAAGGGGCCAATTATTAGTCCATTCACATTTAAGTCTGTGGCCATCAGCAAAGGAGTGGGCCGTCTTTTCCAATCGGTGACCATTTTAGGTCGTCCATCAAAGACCATTAAAAAAAAAAAAATTAGACATTCCCAGCATTTTGTGTGTTAACTATATTTGGAACTTTTAAGTTTTGCTTTCAGATGTTCTGCTGGGCCACACATACACAATGGGGCAAAAGTAGGTTGACACGATAAATGTAAACTTACAGAAGGGAGAAAGGAAAGCAGTGGGAGATGGCGAAGGGTTTCTGTTCCTATTTGGAAACGCTAATTTAATTTGACGAGATTAAACATTGAGGAATGTAATTGGAGTAGGGGTATATTTTAAAAAAAAAAACGTTTTTTTTTTGTGTGTATTCCTACTTTTGTCCAAGCTTGCATGTACAAGGCATACACTAGTGGCTTCATACCTCCCTGAATTGTATGAACAGCAAACATACATCAAAATTCCCAATGAAGTGAGCATTTATCATGAATTGTTTAACACACACAAAAACAACTAAATAATGCCTACAAACTCCATCGAAATGCACGTAAACTGAAAAGATCCGAAAAAGAGCTGGTGTGGGTCAGGGTACAAAGTACATCTCCTTGGTCAGCATGGACACGATGCACGGGATCTGCTTCTTGGCGTCGAAGCCCGGCGCGGTGGAGACCGACTCAAACTCCAGCGCCACCTTGTGGTTGACGCGGGTGAGGATGTGCTGCAGCTCCAGCGCGTGGCCGTGTGCGCTCAGCATCTCGCAAAGCGACTGGACAAACCAAGAGCCCGTCATGGTGTTCCTCCACGAGTAATAGCCTGCACGGATGATTAATGTACAAAAATAGGCAAGGACTTCAAACGTAAACGTAAACAAACGAACATTTACATTTTTTCCCCTTGGGTCATTAAAAGATTGTCTAAATTATGACCATCATGAATGCTAGAAAAAAAAGGCAATGTCTTTCCAACCATCTATTTTTTTTTAATCGATCCTGATTTAGATCAAAGGTCATGTAGCGTATACAGTATAAGATGAAGCGACCTGGCGCGGTGGAATAGGCGTAGAGGAAGTCTGCCTCGACGGGGATCCTGGCGGCGCCGTCGTCGGCGCTGTCCGTTTCGATGCCGGCATCCAGCTCGGTGCCTCTGCATGCCTTCGTCGTGGAAAAAGAGAGACAAAACAATGTTCTCCTAACTAATGATGTTTTGTTACATTAAAAAAAAAATCCTATGATGTTAACATATCACAACTATTTTTCTCAATTTGTTTTCTTGGGAAATTATGACTCGTTCTCACAACTTTTCTTCTTTGTCATAATCCAAAAAAATGATTAAAAAGACATTTAAAGGAAAAGTGAGGAAATGTTCTCGCAATACTTAAAATGCGCCACAAGGTGACAGTGTCACTCTGCAAATCCGCACGTCCTGTTTCATGTCCAATTTAGCTTGGCTCAGACGTCGACAAAGGGGGACTATTTTGAAATGAGTGCCAGTACCTGTATGAAGAATAGTTTGGGCTTGCCCACCAGCGTCTTGCAGCGATCCCCGCGGAAAAGCGAGGTGAGGTGTTTGAGCTCGATGGAACCGTCGGTGCCGAAGAAGACGCCTTCGTCGCCGTGACTAAGCAACACGCACACCAGCGACGCACAGCCGCCGTGATCCTCCTTGGACACTGGGGAAAAGAGAGAGGAAAGACACTGATTTTTTTTTTTAGGCTGACGCCGATCCCATGATACTGGAACTATGGAATGCTACTGAATGACCAAATTGGTGAAATGTGTGTTGGAGAAAAGTGGGAATGATACTAAACGATGTGAAATGAAATTGAACGAACTGAAATGATACGCCATGACGTGCAATGACAGTGGTGAAAAATTGCAGCATGATACTGAACGATGTAGATTGGTACTGAGTATGATGGAACAATACTGAATGATGTGGAATAATTGTGGTGAAGAATTGCGGCATAATACTGAACGATCAGGAATCATATCGAATGTGGTGGCATTATACGGAATGATGTGGAATGATATCGAAGGTGGTGCAATATGTATTGCATGACGTGGAATGATAGTGGTGCAAAATTTGCATTATTTAGGTGGAAAAAATGTGCAATGACCTAAAATGATATTGAAAGATATGGATCGATGTGGAATGATATCAGGTGGGAGGGGGTGGCAATACAGTGACTATCTCTGAATTTTTAGTGTGTGGGAATAATGGGAATGAGTGAGCTGAATGGTTTCCCTTTTGAATGTGAATGATGTGCGTCTGTTATGTTCAATATGTCATTCGGAATTTTTGAGAGAAAAAAATGTGCAAATGTGGGAAAACCAAATTGTTGGAATGCGAAGAATAATATCTTGCACAGTGTGACTTTCCACTTTCAATGGTGATAATCTGTCAAGAAATGTGGGAAGAAAAGCACATGAAAAAAAAGAGACACTAAAATATAATTTATAATTCACGACACTTATCATTTGCAATGTGACATATTTTCCACTCAACATTACAACTTGTTTCCCCATCGCGACCGTAAAACAAGGTGACACCTCAAACGTTTTGGCCGCCTTGTAAAGAGATGATTTCAAGTGAGGCGACAGCTCTCATTTGACTGTTCAAGCATAGTGAATGTTGCGTAACACGAGAGAGAAAGATTGTGTGTGTGTGTGTGTGTGTGTGTGTGTGTGTGTGTGTGCGTGTGTGTGTGTGTGTGTGTGTAGCAATTCAGGATTATGAGCGTAGGAGTGGCTTTATGCCCTCACCTGTAGTTAAAACCTGTTTCATTTGCGTCACTGTCTGGTCATTGTAAATTTTGCACCGGTAACCCAACTTGCCGAACACTTTCATGGCGTTGGCCGCGTCCACGTCGGTTCCGTTGCGTGGATTCATGCCTGCGACAACATAAACAACATTTAAATGGGGGAAAAAAAACCTAACAGAAACGAAACACCCCAATCCTCACTTTTGATTTCATTCAAGGTCCAAAAGTGGAAGAGGAACTAAAAGAGAAACGTGGTTCCTTGTGATCTGACGCACGCCAAACTAACACTTGTGGTTACGTTCGCTTCCTGCCGGACATCTGACAAGATAATTTCCAAAAGTGAACAGCAAACACACTGTGAACACAGAAATACTACACACAGGCCCTTAACTAGGGTTTGAACGATATGGATTACTTGACAGCTGATGCGGATTCCGATCTTCTTCTTCTCCTTTTCAGAGGTTGCCACAGCGAGTCATTAATTTCCATTTTTCCCTTTTCTCTGCATCCTCTACTCTTGCTCCAACTACCTGCATGTCTTCCCTCACGGCATCCATGAATCTCCTCTTTGGCCTTCCTCTCTGTCTCCTACCTGGAAGCTCCATCTCTAACATTCTCCTACCAATGTATCCACTGTCCCTCCTCTGTACATTTCCAAACCATCTCAGTCTGGCCTCTCTCTCACTTTTTCTCTAAACTTTCCTGTGTGAGTTGTCCCTCTGATGACCTCATTTCTGATCCTGTCCATCCTTGTCACTCCAAAGGAGAATCTCAGCATCTGATGCCGATTCCGATATTTCAAAAATCTAAAATGAATGACATCGCTTATTTTTTTTTCGTTCCTTTATGAATACAATGACAAAGATTTTAATTGGACTGTTTTATCATACAGAATTTTTATTGACCAATTCATCGGGATGGAGGAGGCGTAAAACAGACCGGGAAGCGGCGTGACAATGAAAATGCTTTTGCGAAATACAGCCAGGATGAGAATCGGGGCTGGAGCTATCGAAAATGTTCAGAAACTAGCTTGGCAAGCCTCCTCGCTGCCCATCTTCAAAACCCGCCTCAAAACTCACTTGTATTCTTTGGCATTTGACTCAGCATGACTTAAGATTGTTCTTGGTTTTGCTGCTCGGTGCTTTCTACCGTCTTTTTTACCGATTTGCTATTCTGTTTGTTGTATATGTTAAATTGCTCCATGTACAGCACTTTGTATGCAGCGATGGCTGTTTTAAAGTGCTCGAGAAATACAGTTGAGTTGAGTTGAGAGACTATCCTCTCGATCGCATGTGCTGTTACGTCACTCAGTTCGAGTTTGCAGTATTGCATTGCATTGGAACAATATTTTCAATTTCAGTGCGCCTTGATAATCCATTGTTCTTCTACATGTCATCTTTGCAAAATAAATCCAGTTCCAATGATGCAAAGATTATGAGAGAGCGATCCGTATGCTCCTACGCAGCCACTCGATTATGAACAGGATGGGAGAGGCTCACGAAATGTTCTGAACTCCTGTTGATGATGTTGCTGTATTATAGAACATATAGATGGATTCAAACCTGTCCTCCTGTCGAAATTCTTGTTGTTGATGATGATACATTGTCCGATGGAGGGGAACTGCAGGCTGTATCTGTAACTGTGTGCCGCAGCCTTGCGGGCATCCACGTCCATGGAGCTCTCGGACCTGGCGCCGAGCGTACACACACACACACACACACACACACACACACACACACACACACACACGCAACTTTTAAAATTAATATCAATACAAATACTTTCACAATAAACTACACGACTACCGCACAGAGTGTTTCGATTCTTCGTCAATGGCAACCGCGAGTGGCTGCTCGCTGACTCATAAAATAATTCAACTCACGCTTGTCCGTCGCCTTTTTTTCTCGCGTCCGTGCAGTCAACTCCAGCGGGCCCGTTAGCCGACATCCTTACGAAACGTTTAATATCAACACCTACTCCGCTTCTAGTGATTACACAATCGCACGTAATTATTTATTTGTAAGTTCACACCCGGTAATGAGCGGTAGACCGGGAGGGAGCTAGTGAGCTGCTGCTGTACTTCACTAGGAAGCAACGCCTAGCAATAAACAAAAGCTAGTGACGTCACGCGTTTTGGTGCGTTCGAGTTAAAACCACGAGCTTGCCGTACGGGCGGTGTCTGAAACAGGAAATTTATGTGGTGGGGAAAAAAAAATCATAAGCAAAAACATGTAATACCTGTACATGACAAAATGATATTTAGAATAGTTACCAAATACAACTGCAAAAATATCTAAAATTTTAAGTTATGAATGAAAACGAAAACTTGATAAAAATAACGATTGAAAAAAGTCACCATTATAATTGGTAAAGAATACACATCAAATACAATAAAAATTCTCATGAAGTTGATTCAAGTGATTTTTATCCTGTAAATGCTTCTAAACTTCCCATTATGCGAAATTAGAATTACAATTATATCATAAAACTGCAACGGTTCTTATGTTTTTTTGTTTTAAAACTGTCTTTTTTTTCACCCGTTTCAATCTTCTCTAATACAATTATGACGAAATTGGATTTTTTTTCATTGCAATGCACAACAAAATTATTTTTACTATTTCAAAATATGCAACATTTCTCTCAAACTCAATGTTATTTCACTTAAATTCCTAAAAAATATGACTCTATTCTTATTTATATACTTTCATAAAATTGTCGACATTTGACAATCACTAATTTATTGAAACCAGGAACAGTATATTATCGAACATATTAAACTTGTATAGGCACCACTGTTTCCGGGGAGGGGGGGGGTGGAGATACACGGAGAGATCTACTACAGCATGTAAAAATGTCAAACAATATTTGACAACAGAAAGTAAGTACACTTAAATAAGTGAAAAAAAAAAAAGGAAGGAATCTCATTCACTGCAAAGTCCGAAAGGACCCTTACATTGTACAAAGCTGGACAAAAAAATACAGTTCGCACTCCTAAGTATTTTTATTTATTTTAATTTTATTAAATACAGTATTTGACTCTTTAGATGAAAATATTGCCTGTACAGTTTTTTTAGGATGGCGACCCTGGAAGTGAGGAAAAATACTTTTGGCAACAATTGCATAGTCTAACTTTTTTTTCTTGTAACATTAAAACTTTGTGTAAATTACAAATTTGGGCTTTTTTTGTGGTTCTGTTAAAAAAAAAAAAGATCTTACGAAATTCTCACAAAATTATTCCACAAATTTTGTCTCTCATTACTTTTATTTAGAAAAAAACTGAGGTGGAGGTGGGGATTTTAACTGAGTAAATGATGCCTGTTTTTCTTGTAAAATTACAATTTTATTTACATATTACATTTTCCTTTAAGTTTAACATGACTTGTAACTTGATTCTTGCAAAATTACATTTTTCTTGTAACATACAATTTTTACTTTATTCTGAATACTTTCTCAAAATATTAAATATTTCTTACAAATTGTAACTCTTTTCCCATATTACAACCTTTTCTTGCAGTAATATTTCTCCTCATAAAATTCTAACTTATTTCTCATATTACAACTTTTTTTTGGAAGGTTACCCATTTTATTTACAAAATTGTAACTTTATTCTATTAAGAAAAAAATCCCTCAAAAGATTTGTTTTCTGAAAACTAATATCTCCTTTTCTCAAATTGATTTTCTACCCCGTTGTAACATACATATTTTTGAAATTCTCCAAACATGACATTTTCATAAAAAGAGGACTACAGTACAGTATTTTTCAATAACATTTTTGTTCATTGTTGTGAAGCAACTTTTTTTTTTTTCCTGCGTGATATCCTTTCCACCGTTGGCTTTCATTTGATAGCCTGTGGTCAGAATATGTCGGGGCAAACATCCCAACCGCCACCGCTGTCCTTGGTCTCCCAGTAGCCTCCCTTGTAGACATGCATGCTCTCTCCCGACGTGGGTTCGTCCATCTTCTCGAACCACAGCGCCTGGTAGCTGTCTGGATGGACAGCTGGAAGACAAAGAGAAAAACACAATCAACACTCAACACCAAAACGCTATACCACCATGTAACATAGTCATTTTTAACTTACGATCAAGAAATCAATTGGAATAGAAACATAGTTGCAAATGTTTTATTTCGGCATATATTGTCAATCAACCAGGTCATTTTGCATAGTTTGAATCGAGGCGAGTGGACTGGTTTTGCTCGCCTGTCTGCCCTTTTGAATTGTGTGTTGGCATTAAGCTATTGGGCTTTTCTATCAGGCAAAGTGGTTGTTTCAAATACCCGATATGTAATTCTATTTTTCTATCTATCTATTTATCGGTCTGTCTAGTTACTTGCTTTTGGCTGTAGCTCCGCATGAACTTTCATTGTCTCGAGCTGAAAAGAGCGTAAAAACATGAGTGCTAACGTGTAAGGAGTAGAAGAACGATGGGAGGCTACTTGCATGTGACAGGAGGCGGAAAAGAAGGAGCAGCAGCGTGAAGGTTAAGAGAGTCCTCTGTGTCAGCTGAACGTCAGTGCACAAAAACACCCTTTGTCACATCATCGGCAGTCACTCAACTCTACTACACTACGTGCTACACGATGCTAATGTACCCTTCAAACGTGCCGTGCAGCATTTTGCGACACAGGTGGGGGAAATTAGTGTTTAGTGTTTTGCAGACTTCAAACCCTAGCTTGGAAACCCACTCTCCCCCTTGGAATCCCAACTCGGTCGTAAAAACCTAACTCGAAACCCCTTATCCTGGATTCATACCCCATCAACTGTCTTAAAAACCCAAGTTTGAATCGCCAACCGAGGCTTGAAACTGTAGTCCAGATTTGGCAACCTAACTTGGAACTCAATCTTGGCTTGAAACCTGGAATTTAAATTTTCACTCCTAACCCTTGTTTGAGTGGTAAACATCCCGCTTAGATTGTTCAGAAGTCAGACCACAAAACATCACAAGTGGGAGATCTACATCGGATGGTGTGCTAAAATGTTAAACAACACAGCCCTAACAATACGAATGAATGACTGTACACTACGAGGCTACGTGGTGATACTTGCTTTCATCTGAAATCTCACTCGCTTCCGTTCCAATCTCATCCGTGTTGGCTAAAATGCACATACACAAACACACACAAACATATTTTTTGCGAAAGCAGCGGTTGTCAATTTTTTTAAACAAAGTACCTCCTTCAAAAATATGTAACTCTCAAAGTTGCACCATAATGGCCAACAGAACACGTTGAGCACAACGGCTAGAAAGCTACATACTATATCAAGCTATCACTAGCAAGCTATAACGTTATATTATACCAAAGACACACAGCCATCTCAATTTATTATTCGCTCAGACTAGATTAATTAGCAAGCAAAACAGTGACTTGGAAAGATATATTCGTTAACTGGCAGTATTGTTAGCCAGTGAGATCGCTACCCACAAAGTTATCTGGTCTTATTGTGAAGCTATTTATATATTTAGCCAGTGTGGTGATACTTGCTTTCACCTGAAACCAAATTAGCGTGCTCTTTTTATTGTATTTGAGAAATACAATAAAGAGTGCACACTACTTGGCATGATTATAAGATAGCAAGCTCATTTGCCAACAAAGTGGGTCATCACAAAGCTATCTTGTATCAACATTAACTATTTAGATAGTTAGCTAAGCATATGGCATATCCCATATGGAAAGCTACTTCCTCGCATCAATATTAGACATTTAGCTAGTTAGTTAGCCCGCATGTAACCCTTGTGCTGCAATTTCTACGATGTTTGTAACACATGGGTTACCCCATATGTTGCAATTTCTACAATTTTTGTAGATTTTTGCATATTCTTCATCACGTCATCTATAAATCAAAGACACAGCATAAAAAGTGTGTGATATGAAATATTCCAATTCATGTTTTATTTATATAGATTTATATTTATGTTTTGGTCATAGCACAATACCGCTTTTATTGTCCATAGAGGGCAAAAATACAAAGAAAAAAATAAGAACTATATGTGTATGTATAGCACTGATGCCACTGAACATGTCGAGTGGTTGAAAGTGAAATAAATATTCAGGAATAATACTTTTACAATTTTTGTAAAATTGTATGTTGCGTTATATAAACTTATTTAGATCGACTGCAGCACATGGTTAAGATTAGACAGGATAGATTGCTACATACAGAGGCACTAGCAATATCTGGAAAGACAAATGACACACTGGAGGGAGCCCTTGTACCACACTAAGAGAATCTCTGGCTGAAAAGAAGTACAGTACAGTATTTGCTTTTCAAAGGCGAGTCACTGTTTGGATCCTTGGAGCATGCTTAGTGTTGGGACACAGAAGAGAGGAAGACAATAGTATACACAGACACATCACACACACGCATGTCGCTACATCGTCCTCCTTTCTCGCTGACATATCAGACCCTCGCGTGGAATCGAAGATGGCTTGCTTCGCGATGGAGCCTGTTTCTTACCATCCTCGGGCGTGTCGGCCGCCTTGACGATCTCCCACTCCCTTTCCCGGCGAGCTATCCGCTGCTTTTCCTCCAACCTCTGCTTCTCTGCATTGGCCTCGTCCCAGTGACCCTCCTCCATGAGGCGCTGGTCGGGCCGCCACCGGCTGTCCGTGGGCGCCACGCCTTCCTCGGGTTCGTTGAGCGTCAGTGCCAGTGAGGAGAAGTAGTACATGTTTTCCGCTCCCTCCCTGCGGAAAGAGAAGACCTCATTCGGATTCACGTCATCGGTAATTATTTGTGGGGGTTGCGGCAGAACGTACGGTAAGGGGTTCTTCCGCCATATTTCCTTCGCTTTGAGAGTCTGGTAGACAGTCCTCTGTTTGCCCTCAGCGCCGCTTTCGCTTTTGCTGCTTTGCATGATCCTGGAGAACTCCATCTTCTCATCCCACGTGCCCGACAGCACGTAATGCGCCTTTCCATCTTTGTCCGTCACTACGCCTGTCACCTTTCGGAAGGGAAACGCAGCGTGGTTGAAAACAAGTGTGGGCCTGAAACATTGCTCTGGGAATTTACGAGTTCATGAAAACATTTAAAATTGAATCTGTATCAAATTAGAAAAGCGTCTGTTGCTGCAAATATATCGCAAATTTTCAATTTTAGCATCTGAATAATTTATTTAAATCATCGGTTTCTCTTGTTACAATTCATGGGGATTAAAAAAAGATGTTTCAATTTAATCTGATTTTTGAGATCTATAGTTGAAATTAAGTAAAAAAAATTTAAATTTATTCAACAATGTAATCATTCTTTAAAATTTAATTTGTATTAAATTTAATCTTGATATTGAATTTAAACCAATTGAATTACACTGTGACATCATATAATTTAAGATGATTTTCAATTAAGATTTTAATTTCTTTGAATAACATTTTAAATCATTTTTTCATGAAATTCAAATTTCAAACGAAAATCGATTCGTATTTCAACTTCAATTTGTAATTTAGATTCCCGAAATTTGCATTTGAAAAACTTCCGATTCATTCCATTTTCCACTACATCAAATCAGATAATCAGATTTTTTTTTTTTTAGTTTCATTGTTTACAAGCGCTTCACAGGCCTAGGAGAAAAAGTCACCTTTCTTGGCACGTCTCTGGAGAAGTAACTGTAAGGAGTGAACTTGAGGTGGCAGCGATCGCCCGTCTTGTGGTTGACCACATCAATCTCCCCCGACTGGACAAAAACAAAAACTTTGCTGTTCAAAAAAGTCACGATGGGCATGATGACATTACCGCGGAGTCACGTCGTCACCCTACCTGATCGATCCATAACTTGCCCACGATAATGTTGTGCACAGTGGTAGTCACTTTCTTCCAAGAGTAATGGTTGGCGCTCTTGTCAAATATGCAATGGATGGAACCTGAGGAAGACCAACGGGCTGCATGATATGGATCAGGAATGTCAATGGCAGACTTGTGTCCTAAAGGCGCACTCACCGAAAGGGAGGACGGACAAATATTTTCCTCGGAACTTGCTGGCTAAGGTGATTTCCTGTCTGAGCGTCCAGCCTTTTTCGGAGATGGCGTGGTGGGCTGCTGCAGGTGGGTGGTGGCTCACCTGAGACAACAGGCGGTCAGGGAAGAAACATTTTGAGATATTTCATGGGAATCTTGTAAAAAAGGGAATGAAGTAAGAATCATAAAGGCAGACTCTATGAATAAGCAGGAGGTCTGCATCTATTATAGTTTTTTTTGTTGGGGTTTTTTTTGGGGTCTGCACGCAACTGAAGGCCATTCAAATTGATTCGCACTTTCCTTGTAGTTTCCACCAAATTAGATCATTCAAGATAAACACGTCTGGGGGTGGGGCGATCACTATTATTCATCAAATACGAAGTTAACAATACATCTGCTGATGCACAAGCTTGGACACATCATCAGTGTTGTATCCTGGACTCACTGGGTGTTTCGGGTCTTGCAACAGACACCCTCATCCAGGCGACCCGGCCGAGGTGATCAAGCCTCGGCCTGTGTCCAAGTGGCATGCTACACCCACTACAACCACTGCTCTCCCCTTTTCAACCAGAGCCATCTGGAGGCTTTTTCTACTGCCTCCACGTTGTTGCCTATGGCCCTTCTACGGTTGGCACCCGTTATGCCTAGTGTGCTGTAGGCTTTGCTCAGGGAGTGGCTGGCAACCCCCCGACTGCCCACCTCCACTGGCATACACTTGAATAAAATATGTGTGTTATCGAAATGTGTTTACCGGGTAATCAGTATTAGGTCCAGATTGAGATCCTTTTGGTTCTACAAATAAGCAAATACGTTTTCCTGCATTTTTTGGTGAACAACAACAACAACAAAATAAATCTATGGAAATATGAAACTGCACAGGTTTATGTCACATTTCGTTTATGTTTCATTTCATAATTTACTTTATACTATACAGTAGATCATTTTATTGTATATTTGTTGTTTCTCTTATCTCGCATGTTTTTTTTCTTTGTGTTCAATGTCCTTTGTGTTTATTTTAACACAGTGAGCTCTGCAAGACAATGTCATTCCTTGTACAAGTACGGTATAACCTTTGCCTTGAATTTAAACTCGACACAGAAACTGACGTTGAACATGTTGTGGACTCGGTTAAATATCATCAGATCCAATGGTGTTTATGTTGGATCTTCATTCAGAACTACATTTTAAAAAGTGCTGGGCTTGTTGTAGCTACCTGTTCGCAAAGAGAGCGGTAGCCGCACTCTCGCAGGCGATCCAGCTCGAAGGTTTCCCCCAACAGAGGGTTGAAGGGCTTGCTGGTGCGGTGGACGGTCGTGGAGTAGGACGAGACGGTGAAGGCGGCCACGTAGCACATCTGCTCCAGGGAGCTCTGACACTTGGACGCCTTGTCCAGCAGCTCGTAATACTCCAGGTCCTCCGACAGCCGTTGCAGCATGGAGAGAGGCTCGTTAAAGTTCACCTAGATGTGAGGGAGACGAGGGGGCGTGGCCGTCACTGCGTTCGGGGTGGCTCATGGCCCTTTGCACGGCAGCTGTCTCACGGGCATCGGTATCTTGGAAAGCTCCTTGCCGATGCAGTTCTTCATGATGCTCCACAGGTTGAGGTAGTAGTTGGGCTTTTCTGGGATGCGCGTCCGTCGTCGCCTGACGGGCTCCATCTCAAGGTGCTGCGGGGACTCCGGACCGGACGCCAGCGACAGCTCGTCGAACTGAACCGGGAGCAGGAGGAGTCAGAGGATGAGGAGGAAAACTTGGGAGAGGAGGTTTCGAGAATTTGCTTCTCAAGCGACTCATGTGCTAGCTTGGAGATGAATTCTCGCTTGAGCGAGTGAAAACCTTCCTCTTCCCACAAGGAGCCAATTGCCTAGTCGCAACACCCTACCTCTGCCCCTAGCATCGTGGTAACAAGAGCGTGACATGGATATTATCCGTTGTCAATTTCCTTTGTGTATATCGATGTAAGAATGTCAAAAACCTTTTTTTTTTTTAAAATGTTAAACCTGACAACTGTCTCAAATTGTGACAAAAATGCACACTGTGTCTCCTTTCAACACAAAGTAAATGAACACGCATTTACCGACAGATCATCCATGCCGGTCTCATTGCTCTGCCTGCTTACGTTGCTGCTAGATCTCCTGTAGGGCAAAAAAAAAAAAAAAAAAAAAAGGGGGTTTCATCCATATTGTTCACTAACATAATAACCAGCGCTGAAGTCTTGGCAGAGGTTTGTGCCCGTGTACGAGCGACCTGTGATATTTTGGGTCGGCGGGAATCGTGATGAACTCTGCCGGGTCCTCCATGGCGTCAAAGAACTCGTTGTCATCATCCTCGTCGCTGGCATCTCCCTTTCCTGACATTCCGCCTGCAACAAAGTCTGGAGGATTACATGTTGCAACGGCCTTTATTTGTACAAATCGTAGTACAGTGAACATTTATGGCCATAGCCTTACTGCAAAGGATATAATCATGTAAAATCGTAAATGAACACGGCAAGGATTGAGGCTGAAGCAACCGCAGGGGAAGCGTACCTTTGCTACCTAAGTCCATGTTGCTGCGCGACGGCGGGAGGACGGTGGCTCCCCTGAAAGCTCTCTCCAGGTGGTTGTGCTGCTTGGCCAGCTGCTCCAGCGTCTCCTCTAAGCGGATCCTCTGCGCCCGCTCCAGCTGCAAGGCCTTCTGCCAGCGCTTGCTGTGGTTCTGAGCTATGGACAGGAAGTCTCGGCACGCCTGAGTACAGCAAAGCGATCAGCCGGTGACGATGTCACGGACTTTCCCGGTGGTGGGCCGGGGGACTTACGTTGATCATTGCGTTGGAGGTGATTCGGAAGAGCGTGGCCCTCTCGGTGACTTGTCTGATCTTCTCGCCCATGTCCGCCGCCTCGTGAATGCCCTCAAGTTCTGACAAAGATCTGTTTGGGGAATAAAGTCAACTCAATCATCACAAGTTGAAGAATGGTCCAACTTTATTGTAATCATGTTTACACTGACGCTTCCACTGCACGGGTGAACGACTACTGTAAAACACCGAAAGAGTTGGTCAAAAATGACCTAGGAAGACATTTGCGTCCATGTATAAAGGCCCCTTGGGGACTTCGGGTCCGTACCTTTGCAGGGCTGATCCGTGCTTGACAATCAGATCATTGCATGTGCCGAGGTCTTCCACTTTGCTGCCGAGCGTGCGCAGCGTAGACTGGATTTCCATGTTGCGGCCGCCCCCTTGTCCCGAGGCGTTGGGCGCTTCAGACGCTTCGTCCGACGACTCATCTGCGGACGACGGCGATGAAGATGACTGAGGAAGTGCAAACATGAAAAGGGGAACTTTCCACTCACCCGACAGATCCTGCATGTGGAAGGCCTTTGCCTTGGCGAGCTCCAAGGCGGTAATCCAGCGCTGGCGCTCCACCTCGCAGCTGGCCTTCAGGTGGTACGTCTGCGCGCCGCCGTTGGAGATGACGAAGTTGCACGAGTCCTCCACGACGATGTTGGCCGTGGCCAGGTTGATGGTGCCACGGCACGTGTGGCCCATCTCGGCCTGGGTCCTGTGGACAAGATTATTGTCAGTTAAAAAAGTTTTTTTTTCTTCATAATGCAATATCTCTTCTTGTACTATTGCATTTCCCCGTAACTGCAACTTTTTCTTATAACCGTTCGCACAATACAATTTAGAAGAAAAAAAAAACTATTGTATTGTATTATGATTGTCCTTGTCACGTTATTTATTCTCATTACGATGCAACTCTTGTCTTCCTGTTTTTCCTCTTTTAACTTCACAAATGTATTCTTGTAACGCATCTGTTTTCTCAGAAGATCAGGACTTTACTCTTGCAAAAATGATTTAACTAGTGCACACCAGAAGGGAAGAAGAGCGCTTCAGTTTTGCTGATAGTAAGCAACAAGCCGCACAATTCGGTTTCCTGTTAAAAATACCAGTGATGTGAAGTCACATGACTTTAATCTCAAGGGAAGGGCAAAGGACACGTTGATTCTTACCGGTAATACGAAAGCAGCCCATTGCTGAGGACAAACCAGCGTCTCTGGTAACCTTTGATGTAGTTGGTCCACTTGAAGAGCCAGCCCTTGTATGTGTCTCCTGGGGTGGGCGTGGGAGGCTTGGACTCTGATGACATCACAGCAGACTGGTGGGGCGTCATGGCACATTTTATTGACACTGAATATACACGATGGGCCAAAAGTAGATCTGCCAAAAAGTAGGTAAATTCGATACCACTTTTTTTCAGGCCGATACTCGTATGGGAAATTCATTCTTTGAGTATGCATCAATACCGAGAACCGATACCTCTAGTACTTACTACAAATTAAATTTCATTTCAACGCAATGAAAAAAATAATCATGAATCTTTCTGAAGCAGACGATGATCTGCCAATGTGACAAAATGCTGTCATATGGCAACAAATGCTGGTGAAGAGGAGTTGTTTTTTTTTTTTTTTTTGCCTTACATAGCAATGGCTGGTATCAGCAGGCTCCACAAGTATAACGATACCTTAAAAATAAGGCTGGAATCCCTAATTTAAAGTTCATTGAATTTAAAATTACAAAAAGAAAGAAAGGGAAAATAAAGGACGGATATTTCAAGGATATATTCATGGGTTTAGGGAAGTAAGGATACAAGAATTATATGAAGGGAAGGTGGGAAGGAAATACGATAACACCAGATTAAAGGAAAAGAAACATGAAGGAAGTATAGAGGGGGAGGAAAAAAAGGGGTCGCAAAGATGGTGGGCTACATAGATGGTATGAAAGGAAGGAAAGATGGAAGGCAAAATGGAAGGTAGGAAAGAAGGATGGGAGGAACAACAGATTAAAAAAAACGTTTGTAAAAGGTTGAAATGAACCAAGGACGTTGGAAAGGAAGGGAAGAAAGAGTGATGACAGTGAGTAGCGAGGAATGACAGGAAGAATTGATATGAGGGGTGTAATGAAGGAAAGAAGGAAGTGAGGAATGAGGAAAGAGTAGAAGGATGTAGCAAATGTATGAAGGAAGGACAAAGGGGAGGGTGGGTGGGTGGAAAAAAGAGGGATGAAAGGAAGGAAAGATTGGATGAAAGCAAAGGAAAGGAGGGGGAGTGAAAGGAAGATAAAGACAATCCAGGAAGGGGCTCACCATCACGTTTAGGGTCTCCATCAAATCAACATACTCGTTTTAAAAAAAAAGAAGAAATTAAGTCCAAACTTGAATGAAAAAAAAAGAAAAAAAAAGAAATTAAGTCCAAACTTGAAACCCCTGCTTGGAACTCCTCATTTGAAACCTTAACCCTGGCTCGAAACCCAAATCTGAATTGATGGGATTTCATTATATAAGAAATGATTTTTTTTTATGATGGATGGATGAATGAATTTGTAACGAGGTGACTATTTTACATACGTGACATATGACGCCCTGTGATAACTGCTATAAGCACTCGACACGCAATAGGAATACCTTTGCCTTGGCCCGATGCGCGTCATCATTATGACATGGCCGGATAAAATGTCTGGACAATCTGTCATTCAAAGCCAAATTAATCATATTGTTATTTTTTTCACACTTATGGAAAAAAATCAAGTACATAAGTCATAACACGCAGCTTCGTATATGTGCGTGTATCGGCTGCCAAGTGATGACAGCGAATTGCCGGTGGTGGGCTAACGTCTTCTTCCCGGAAACTTTTTTTTTATTACATTTAAATAAAAAAATACCTTTGGGTGGCAGCACAATCCTATATTGTGACCCAAGAGGTTATATGCTATCATAGTAGTGTGGAGCAAATAATTGAAACGAGTTACCTGGAAAGAGCAGGAAACCAATTCAAGACATGAAAATCTCCTTAAACTCTGGCCGCCACTAAGCTTGCTAGCTAGACCGGAAGTTGTCATCCATTTTGGTCGGACGTGTGACACTTGCTGTCGACAAATTAATAACAATCCACCTTATGTACAATTTCTATTTTTGTGACATCACCATCCAAAAAAACCCGAATGTTACTACGCTTTGACATTACTCTCACTGAAAGTTCTCGTCGACCGTTAAACTTGATTGCCACTTGAGGACAGCACTTCGAAAGCCACCCCCCCAAAAAAAAGCAACTTGGAAATAACGTCATTATATTTTAAGTAAGTGTAATTTAAATGTACTGCTATCATGCCAACTATTTATTATGTGTCAACATTTTTAATGATGGTGTTTTGGCGTCATCAAGCAAATGATTTGCTTGATGACGCCATCTGACATTTGCTGCCAGATGTCCAATTTCTGGTCCGTCACGCGAAAAAAGGGGGTTCTAACGAGACATGAGCCTGCACGTCACGTAGCACATAGAATATCCGACATCGTCATTAATTTTTGAAAAAAATGAAACGTTAACTTGCGAGTTAATTCGGCTGTATAATTATTAAAATATAATCTAATAGCATGCATCTAGACGTCATCATCCTGGTGAAATGAATCTTTGGTCAGGCAGAGAAGGTACATTAAGTATAAATATCAGGTTATACATGTGTCACGGGTTATCTTAAAGGCCTATTAAGATGCATCTGCAAACTCAGGGTTCGTTGCGTTCGTTTCAAATATTCACCGTTTTCGATCACCCCAGTGTTTTTTCGGGACCCACCCCAGCCCCATTTTTTAAATTGGAAACCAGATGCAGAATGTTTATCAGCATTTAAAAAAAAAGGGGGAGCCCTAAGGGTGAAAAAACACCCCCCAATGCATCTCAAGGGGGGGGGGGGTCTGTAATACAGGGGTTTTATTTCGGTAAACAATGTCAATTTTGGTTCTTTCAATTGTTACTTAGTGTGACAATTCTAACAACTACTAGTGCTCTACTATTTCACTTACCATAACATCCATTTTCTTTCACCAAATGCGTGCATTGACATCATTCAAGTCAACATTACTTTTGAAAATGATCACTAAAGCTGCAAATAATTATTTTAATAACAGATTTTAATCTGTTGACTAGATGACGTTTAAGTAGCATGTCATGTGGTATGGCATCACCTCACTTAAATCCTCAAAATAAGTAAAGAAAAACAAATCTTTGTCTGCATTTTATTGTGTCATTTGTAACTTCTACACCGACAACCATTTTGGATTTGTAGCAATCACTCTAAAACACAAATGCGGTATATATACGTGTTTGGAGGGGAAAAAAAAAACTCTTGTCACTACGTATTTATTTGGTGATGGTGTTGGCGTTCATGCTCTTGCCACTTCCGCTGAGCACGATGTAGGGCGTTTTCTGCGACTTCTGCTTCTCCTGAAGAAGCGCCACCGTCCCCAGCGGCGTGTCGCTGCTGCTCATCTTCTTCAGCAGCGCCTCCTCCTCCAGCTTCTTCATCCGGCGCTCCGTCTTCATCTTGCCCGAGCCCTTGCCGTGGAATCTGTGCGACAGCTGCCGGAAGGCCTCCTTGGGGGTCAGTTTGCGTCCCGACTCGTCCACGTACTCGATCTTGACGTCGGGTTTGTAGCCGTCCTTGTCCTTGAAGTCCTGCGTGAAGCCGCGGTACTCCTCGCGGCGGCTGTACTTGTCGTCGAAGCCCATCTTGTCCTCAATGCAGTAGTTGTCGTTGGGCAGGGCGCCTTTGGTGGCTTTGACTCGTGCCACTTTTTGCACCTCCGTCTCCAGCAGTCCTTTGTTCTTGCACAGGTGCAAGGCGGCGGCCAGGCCTGAGTTGACGATGGGCTCCTCGTCTAGAATGGTGGCGGAGGCCGTGGCGAAGTCGGGGTGCTTCTGCTCCTCGTCCAGGTTGACGCTGCTCCAGCCCATTTTGTCCTCACCATCCGAGTTGGAGTCGTCAGCGCCTTCCCGCTCCTCCTCCTGCTCAAAGTCCATCATGTCCTCCTGGTCCTCGCGGTTGCCCGACAGGCCGTAGGTGGGAATGTCGCCCAGCGTCCGGCAAAACTCGGAGGTGGCGTTAAAGACGATGTTGTTGCGCTTCTCTGCGTCATTGTCGGCATCGTCTTTGGCGAGTCGCTTCACCCGCTCGGCGATCTTCTCACCGGAGTCTTTGAGGAGCCGCTTCTGCCGCAGCTTCCTCTGCTTCTCCAGTTGCTTCTGCAGCTCCTGCTCAGCCTCATCCTCCTCAATGACGCTGGGCTCGGGCGGCGCGAAGTCCTCGTCGTCGCTGATGTCCATATCCGCCGTCCGGATGTCGTCTGACATTTGCGGCTCCGCTGTTGTAGGCGCCACTTCATGTGGCCACTTAGTGCCGTTCTCGTCGTCGGCGTCGTCGTCTACATATTCCCCCTTTCGTCCCCGCACGCGCGTCCTGGAGCCGAAGTCTGTCTTGCGCGAGTCGTCCAGGAGCAACAAGTCTGCCACTGTCGTCTTCTCCTTCTTCCGGATTTTCTTCACGCGCCGTTTGGTCTTTTTGAAGCCCACCATCTCCTGAGGCGAGTAGTACTCGGACGCAATCATGAGCGAGGGCATCTCCAAGGATTGCGCCTGGCTGCGGAGTGTCTCCCGCATGACCTGAAGCTCCCGCTCCCGCTCACCATCGACCACGCCGCCCGCCTTCAAGCGGAAGCTTTTCTTCTTTTCGCCGTCGATCTCCTCATCATACTTGGACAGCACCGACCGCGACTTGAACGTCACCATGTCGTCCACGCTTTCCTCCTCCTCGTACGGCTTGTAGTCGGGCTTCTTCTTCTTCAGCTCCACATTCTTGTCCGCCTTCTCCTTGTCCACCAGCCCTACATTCTCCAGCACATCCTCCTCCTCCTCCAGCACGCCTTTGTCCTGCAGCGTGAGGATGACCGTCTGGCCCTCGCCAAAAGAGTCCACTTTGTGCTGCACTTTAAGACCCTTCAAGTCCCGCGCCGTGTATGCGCTGTTTTTCCGTCCTTGCCCGAATTCCTCCTCCACCAGGGTGCTCACGCCAAACTCCTGGTCCATCTCCTCCAGGAGTTTGGCTCTCTTCTCCGCCATCTCTTTCTCCTTTGCCGCTGTCCGGCTCTTCTCCACCCAAGCGGTGGTGTCCTCCAGCCAGTCATCCTCAGCCAGCGTCTTGACTTTGCCAAGCTTCTGGTTCAGCAGGCGCTTCTCCTTCATGGCAGCCAGCTTCTCCTTGATGTCTTTCTGCTTCTGCATGAGAGCAGGGTTGATGGTTTCTGCCACCAGCGGCTCTTCCTTAGTGCCAAGTTCCTTCTTGTTGTCATTTAAGTCCAGCGGTTTTAGACCCAGCTTGGCTCGGAGCTTGTTGGTCTCCTCGATGCTGAGCGATGCATCTCCACTAGCAGACTGAGCTTGCGCCTCACCGTTTCCCTCCTCGTAAGCCTTATCAAGTTTCTCCTTCTTGATGCGTGGCTCCCCTCCGGAACTCCTCTCGCCTTTGCTGCGACTATCGCGCCCACTCCTGTCCCTGGACGGGGACCGCTTTCGTCTCTCCTTCTCCCGAGTACCATCTCGGTCCGATGCGTCTCTGTCGCGCTCCTTGCGACGGTGTTTCTTGTGCTCGCGACGGCGGTCCTCAGCTTCTCTGTCGCGAGCCTTTTCCTTGTGTTTCTTGGACGAACCCATTGTTGTTTCCTCTGCGGTGGCAAGTTAGGAGCAAATATTCGCCCGCTAAGCAATGAGCGAGTGATAGCAAAATGTGGTAGTTTTGAATTGCTAACGCGCTAGCATAGATGATTCGCTCCAATGAAAGACTTTAACTCATCCAGCAAGCGGACAAAAACAAATCGCCGTCTATTTGGTCGACACTTTGCAAAGCCGCGTCAAGATAAATGAGCTAATGAATCATTAATGGTCAATTTGGAGTTTTCGTCCAAGCTCCTACCACTCCGGCGATGAAATGCAGACGACACAACTACGTTGGAGAAGTCATTTCCGGTTGTTTAAAATCAAGTGACTGCCATCTACAGGTCAGGCTGATTGTTGCATCAAGAAAGCGTTGCCACTGATCCATCCCAAAATACTGTACTAAAAAAAAAAAAAAAAAAAAGACGCGGCCTTTTTGTTACGAGTTATTGATCTGATCTAGGAAACGTTATAGTTGTTAAATTGTGTAAAATGTAGATTTCTGATTGCCATGCTTACAAGTTACATTTAACATGTGTAAATGAATAATAATCATTTACACATGAATGAGAAATTACACATCTTCATTAACATGCTTTAAAAAATAAGAAATTTTCCCAGTTAGAGTGTCGCGAAGCAATTTGTCACACATTAGCGACTTGACGTGGATTTCTTGGCAATAAGGTGAGGTAACACCCTGAAAACCAAAATTAGCCAAAGTAATAGTTTGGTTCTTTGTTTCGTGGATCTTTTTTAAAAACCGGTGCTGCACTGTAACTTTCAAGCTCGATCTTTTTTTTTTTATTTTTATTTTTTAAACCGGTGCTGGACTGTAACTTTAAAGCTCGTCGTGCGGTCCTTGTCGCGGTTTAGTGACGACACATTGATTTCCGGACACCTGCTGGTCAAGTTTGGCTCAGCGACGCTTGTGGATTTTACCTAAATACTGTATTGCCTTTCTTTCCACCAAATAAACGCTAAAGAGGAAGCAGCGGCGTAATTGACTGTACAAGAATTTCTCACATGGATTCCACGCGGAGACGAATTTAAATATTGTCCACCACAACGCCTAAAGCTACGGTGATTATTATTCCATTTCACTTTGAAGTTTTCACTTGCTGTGAACCAAGTTGGTTGGCTACCGGTTTACCTCGAAACTAAGGACTTGAAAGCAAGGCTACTCGTTTGCTAACCTGGGTTGTTTGTATAGTACACTGTGTGGTGGCTTTTAGCTTGACTATTTGCGTGCTCGCTTGTGTGTGCGCGCGCGCGTGTGTGTGTGTGTGTGTGTGTGTGTGTGCGGGGGGGGTGATAGTTAGCATCTGACGCGTTAACAGGTAACATTAGCCAGTTTAACCCCCCCCCCCCACACACACACACACGTACGCACCATAATATTGTGTATTACGTTTGTTTAAAACTTTTTAGGCGGTGAGGACGATGCTCACTGCTATGAAGCAACATAACACCACACACTGGAGGGTGGGGACGTTCGGAGGTTGCCATGGTG